CAGCTCAGCGCAAGCCCTTCCAGGAGTGCTGCTCTCTCCTGCACTGCCCTCTGGCCCCAGAAATCCCCAGCTACCTGTGCCCTGCAGGATCCACTCGTTCCTCTGCTGGGACGGGAAGCAGGGGCCCAGGATCTCCTGGTGTCCCTGCCACCTGCTCATGGGGTGGCCTGGGCACATCACCCCACCTCTCTCTTCACTTGTAGTGCTGAAGTGCAGATTTGATCTTCGCCATTCGTACCCAAGAGCTGCTCAGGTCAAGTTAATGACTGACATGAAGTCAGGCATGTCAGTGGACTCGCAGCATAGTTTAAGTATGAAGTATTACCCTGCAGTTAGCGGTGGAGGTAGCCCCTGCTGAGAATTATTTATTTTATCATTTGGTGAGGTGTAATCATAAAAGAGAGAAAGGAGTGTAGAGAAAGCCTGTCCCCTGTTAAAAATGTTTCAGGAGATTGAGATGCTGGCTCGCCTGTGGTTTTGGTGCATGTGTTGACTCTGAGTCTAGTACTGGTTACTGCAGTTGATGGGGTGGCATATAAATAGAATGACTTCTGCAGGTGTAGTATTTCACCATACAGATGGAATCAAAGAGTTAAAAAGTCCAAGGATCTAGTCCAGTATAATAACATTTTGCAAAACCTATCAAATTCACAGCAAGTGACAAGCAGAAAAGCTCCTGAGCTAGGTGGAAAATGAAATTAGAGGGAATTAAATTGCCCCTTGTTTATCTAACTCGTTGTTTCACTTAACAGGGCAAACAAACATTTTATCTGAGCCCTTAGCAGAAGCTTAGGCTGAGTTGTGTTCTGTTGCTCTCCCCAGCCATATTGTCCACAGAAATGGAGTACCCTGCGTCCTGTTTGGATAAAGCAGTGTTCTGCTGGAGGTGTGTTTGCTCCCTCACTTGTATGCTGTAGAAGGCATCTCATCCCTTACAATATGAATATATACATATATATATATATATATATATATGTTTGTTTTCCTCTTGCTGCCATATACACAATAGATTGTTGTTTGTTTGAAGGATTTAAACATCTGGCAGAGACTGGGGATAGTAATGTCTTTGTCCATAGGTTAGACGTGTGAAATGTTACATGCCATCCACTGTGATGCTGGTTTGTATACTTGGGAATTTTGGTGTGGGAAGGGCAATTAATACAGTGCTAATTCAAGCAGCAGGATAAAACAACTATGGCTAAAACTGGCGCAAGGTAAAAATATATTTATTTCTCTAAGTCGTTCTGTAGTTGGTCCCCATGGAGCTAACACCAAATTCAAATTTTGGAAGTAAATATTTATATGAAATAATCTTATCTGACCTCAATTGAATAGTGAGAGGAATTGTTTTTTACTAAAACATGTCAGTATATGATGCACATGGGGCAGATCTCTCTGTGAGAAATTGAGTTTTCCCGTATTGTAAGTGTTGTCTTGTTATTTGGACACCAAATCTGGTTATAGCCTGAATCTAGACAACAGGCTATCACAGATGAAAAGGGTAAGGAGAAAACAGAAAGTAAGAAAAAAAAAAGGCAAAGGCTGGGTTCTTGTATTGCAGCCCCTTTGCAGTGAGTGCAGGTTACTCTGCAAGCAGCCTTTGTGGCTTTTACCGGATGAATGCCGTAGTCACAGAAGAGCCATTCTGATGTTCTGGCTCCGTCTGTTGAAGCTTTCCCAAAGGTGAGCCAGGCACTCCTGGGTTTGAAACAGAGCTGCAAGTGAGTGACAGTGAACTCAGCATGGGCTGGAGTCTGGTGGCAGCACATCCTTCAGCTGCAGTCAGAGAGAGATTTTCCCTTTGAAGTTAAGACACCTGGGGCTTTTGTAGAAACACAGTGTGCCCCACGTCGTGCAGCTGTTAGCACAATTTAAAATAAAACCAGTAAAAGGCAGAGAAAGGCAAAGCGTCTGGCTCTCGTGTGGCCACCAAGAATTCCTGCAAATGCTAAAGCCCAGCCCATCGCATTTCATTCAGCAGTTAAATTGCTGGTGAATCCTCTGTGCGAGGCTCTGAGCCAGAGCAGCCTCTGAGGGTGTGGATGTGTGAGTGTGAGCATTCAGTGTCCTAACGTGGCCAGGCACAGCAGTTACGAAACTTCACAGTAAAGTCTCAGTGCGTCAGTGCTGGTTCTTAGGTTTGCTGGTTTGGTTTGCTTTTGTTCCTGCAGGTCCGTGGCCCTGCAGTTTGGTTTCCATTTATGAGTGCAGGAAGAGGGGGAGAGGATGGGAAGCACTGCAGGAGCCCCCCAGGCTGCTGGAGGAGCCGAGCAGTTGCTGTGACAGGTGGAGCAGCGCAGTGCTGAGCGAGATTCCCGGGACACCAGGGGGAAGGGAAGGGAAGGGAAGGGAAGGGAAGGGAAGGGAAGCCTTCGTGCCTGGGGCAGCTGCGGTTACAGGGGCCCCTTGAGTGCGCTGTGGCAGCCAGAAGTTGGACTTATTTCTTGAAAGGACTGGAGAAATGATTAACCACAGTTGGTGACGTCAGAGTTGATCTGATTAAAGGTTTGTTTTCTTGCTGGCAGAGGTGTGCTCCGTAGAGACCGGTTCTCTCTTCTTTCTTTTTGAAGTTTGTTTTCTGCCCAGCAGCCGGAGGGAACCGCTCGCGCTGCGCCGCTGCCCCAGCCGCGTGTGTGTGCGTGTGAACAGGATGGCGTGTGCGTAGCTGCCACACGCACACACACCTCTGACCATGAGGACTCTTCGCAGGTTGAAGTTCATGAGTTCGCCCAGCCTCAGTGACCTGGGCAAGAGAGAGCAGGCAGCCTTGGACGAGCGGGGGACGCAGCAGCGCCGGGCCTGCTCCAAC